CAAACTAAGACATCATCATCACAGTAGGCAAAAATATCGTCAGTGTCCCCATAATAACCTGCAACAAGAACAATAAACCACCATAAGAAGTACTGTTGTGTATGATTTGGTATCGCACCAAACTAAGACATCATCATCACAGTAGGCAAAAATATCGTCAGTGTCCCCATAATAACCTGCAACAAGAACAATAAACCACCATAAGAAGTATTGTTGTGTACGATTTGGTATCGCACCAAACTAAGACATCATCATCACAGTAGGCAAAAGTATTGTCAGTGTCCCCATAATAACCTGCAACAAGAACAATAAACCACCATAAGAAGTATTGTTGTGTACGATTTGGTATCGCACCAAACTAAGACATCATCTAATCAATTTATGAGTCACTTCAGCTAAAGGTATAATTAAAACTTGTCTTGCAGTTATGAATTAGTAAGTAAATAAATATATGCAGAATGTCTATTCTTGTTTAAACCTGAAAAAACAACAACTTATAACCAGAAAAGGATAACTTTTTTAAATATCAGCATTCCAATGAAGATAAAATAATTCACGAATAAATTGGAATTATCCCTAAAAAATTAAGCATAATGTTTATAGCTTGAATGTTCCTAATTTAAATGTTAACAATGTGTAACTAAAAAATAAGCTTTCTCTGCTTCTAAAGTCTATCACAGTATACACACCAATAACTACTTAGTATGAGAGTTTACAGCAGATCAAAATACCATAATGAGAACAGGTTCACACAGCTGGACTAACTGTCTGTAGGGTGAATTCATCTTGGCTAGTAACCGTCTTCTGGCTCTGGCAATCTTTAGATTGGTGAATGTAAAGACTGCACCCAAGATTCCGCCAGCAGCTCCCACAACCACGGTAGGTATAACCGCAATGAAATTCAGTGCTATTTCTTTATCAACCTGTAACAGTATCCAGTACACATTGTTTGGTATGAGTGACAAGTAGTCATAACTACATCAGAAAAAGGTGAGTAAAGAAAGTATCAAGTTAAAAATTAAGAAACTGTTGTACACGGAACAAAGTACTTGAGCTATCTTTCAGTTGCGATAGTTTATCTCAATTTTTGTCTATGTCGCTCTCAACAGCTACATACAAAAATTCTTTATTTTAATTTTCTGCTTCAAAAATCATTTTTGAAACACCTATACAATAGTACTAATTAAACATTTCCATTTTCTCTTGAAAGATTAATGAAATCATACATTTCTGAACATAAAAAATTTAGGCTAATCCTGCCATACAAATGTGATGTATTTTCGAGGTAACAAGCTTATTAAAGACACAGAAGGAACACATTATCCTCTCTAAAGACCCACAAACTGGCCAACAACATAATCATCAGCTTATAATGTTTATTATTTAATTTCCATTTCAGTTTTTTCTTATATGACAAAAGTTGACTAATGGACAAACCTGGAAAAGAATATACTTTTCTGTTTTGAATAGCCCGAAGTCTCCCATATAACGGAAGGCTTCAAAAGCAGAGTTAAAAAGATCAGTAGTGAAGGTGGACACCATACAACAGAAGAAAGTTTGCCACGAAAGTTTCATGTTCCAGAAAGAAGATACTTCTTCCATGGAGAAGAGAAGACCTCCGACAGGGGCTCCAAAAGCTGATGCAATACCTGCCGCAGCTCCTGCAGACACAAAGTTTCTCCTAAAAATATATATCATTACAACTGTGTTAATAGATGCACGCATCTGATCTACTTGTATGCAATTTCGTGGTCAATATTATCAAAAACAGATGGGAGAAAAAAATTAAATAAAAAAAGTAAATTTAAATTATTGAATAAGGATGATGGACCTGATGGAAATGTTGTCAACAGATAGCATGAAATTCTTTAATATGTAAATTGGTGTTTTGATAATTGTATAAATAAGTGTTATTTTTTGCAAAACATTACACTCCTGAGGATGATGCAGCATTATACATCAAAACATGTAGTGTATGAGATTGTTTTTCAGTTTCATCTGGTTTTTATCCTGTACAGTAACTTATTGTATTTTAGTAATTTGGATACTGGAAACAATCTCATTTTTATAGAATTGTGTACTAAATAATCGTTGTTTTTTAAAAATTGAGTTTTTAAGATTGAACATTACACATGTGCCAAAAATGTTTTGAAAAAAAGATGGTAGAAGGTTAAAAAGATGCATTGTAAATGCCAGAAAGAAACGTTACTATAAAGATAATGACTTATTTTTACAAAAGTAGAAGCAAAAAACAAAATATTAAACCAAAGTCACAGAAGAAAACCTTTTCTTCAAACACAAGAATGGCAAACATCAAAGTTCTATATTTATTTAAGAAGAATATCTTCATAAATTAAGGGTTTTGGATTTAATGGACTGCTCCTGGCTGTTATCTAGAGTGTGAAGGCCTCAACGTAGAAACCAAAACATCATCCTGCACTAGAAAGAGACAGTACAGCAGTCTGTTAACAACAAACTGTACCACGTCTATATTACTTAAAACACCCTTAAAACAGCTTTACAAGTTTTAGTGGTATGTGATTATTAATTTATTTCTATCATAGTTTGACCAGGTCTTTCCAAAAAAATATTTAAATGAATAAAAGAAGCAAACACATATTTTCAAAAAAATATACCTTCAAAGATTCAAGATAGGAATACCTGTCTTCTGAGTTTCGGAATCTTGAAAAGAATGGTAACCTGAATCCAAACGTCCCAGATCTGAACTGGCTAAGTCCTGCTCCAATCAATGCTCTATAATGAGACAAACTTTTAGAGATAATTTTTCAACTTTTAAGGAAAATAATTCAATTTATTTTTTTTATCTAAAATAATTTGCATAATTAATTTAGAGAGATAATTTACAAACGGTTTTGTTCTTTTGGTAAGAGTAAATATATATGTGTTTATTTTATAATTTCTATAATTTCAACATGTTTATATTGATATAATGCATATTTATGTTTTGTATAATCTTTTTCCGATTTATCATTTCTCAGATATTAATTAACTGCTGTAAAACACAAAAAAACAACAACAATCTAATAATAATGAAATATAAATCTGTGAAAAAATAAACTACCAACCGAGTTAATTTATTATTTTCTACACTAATATATCAATTACAAGTACACTGTAATAACAATAAAGCTAACAAAACCTAGAATCCTTGTTCTAGGTGAATCAAATATTGGACAGAAGAATGAAAGATTGACTTTTCTTACCCCAAGTGAATCATGGGTCCTTCGGGTCCCACAGGCATCCCACTAGATACGGCACATACACAGGATACAAACTTGACAATCAGTGTCTTAATGTTGAAAATGTGTCGAACAAGGGTGCCATTTAGAAAAGCAATTATTTCAGGGATTCCTGATCCACCTGCACTGGGACGTATAAACTGAAAATGGCATATAATAAAAACAAAGATGTTTGTTCACAGAATTCTTACGGGATTGGAAACCAGAAAATGTAATCCAAAATTTATATTAAGCAATTCATTGATAATTCCTAAAACTTAACTGTATTATGCAAACAGACAACTTCATGCACACAATTAGAAATGGTATAATTACTGATCCTGTACTGTATCAACTTTAGATGAAATATTAATGAAGAAGATGCCACACACAAGCTTTAATGTTACTGACGAATGTTATCGTTTAAAATAATCTTCCCCTCTGACATGTCACTTATATGATCATAATTATGCAGACCAATCTTTGCTGCTTATATTATTTGTTAAGATGCTGAAGAACATTAAAATTTTTTTCAGCTTGATTTTAATGAAAAAATTGTAAAGATCCAAATTACTTCTTATACCTGCTACTTGATAATCTGGGTCCATGTTATGATAAGTAGGAGTATTCCCTTGTAATAAGGAAGAAAGAAAGGTGGCAAAACATCGATCTTGAACAAAAGTACTCAAAATTATAAATATACAAGTAAGAAGGCTTAAACACACTCTGCCATTCTGAACTGAAGGTAAAATTTACTTAAAATTATGGTAACTTGATCATTTAAATGTTTCTTTCTACTATAAAATGTGTGACGTTAATTAATTCTACAAGAAATCACCAAAATAATGTACTTTTTTTTCTTCTTTCTTTTAGAAATATAATCGTCCAAAAATGTTTGTTTATTAATATTTTAATACAAGATTGTTTCTGCTTTTTTTTTATATTGTAGTGGACCAAGATCTTTCAGTAACATAAAGTTTAATTCAAAATAAACTTACCACTACTGTTCCAGAGCTTATCACTACTAATCCCACACTTACTGCTGTAACCCATAGCCAAGCTCTGAGAAAGTCCCGAGCCTAAGAAAATTTTAAATAGAAGTCACTGCTAGGACACCAGGACATGTTGAATATAATTCATGCTTCTTATTTCAGAACCATACAAACAAATTGTTTAACTTTCAGATTACCAACTACTGCATCACATTGAGTGATCTTACTTGGTACGGTACTTAATGTAAAGAATTTACCAAATAAATTATGTTAAATCACTCATTTCCTACCTCAAAAATACACAGAACAACCCAACAGTAATCAATAATATTAGCTGTAATATTGACAGTATTTTTTTTACATTACTTTTTATGTTTCTCACACGTTATTCAAGATCCAGTAACCACAAAAATCACGGAACTCTAAGGAATTCGGTGAATAAGCAGTCTAAAAAAACATCTGATGGGTTGTGTAATTCTGGGGTTAATAAAGGGTTCATATTTACAATATGTACACTGTTTATTAGAATTAACTTTTTTATGCACCTTGGAAAAGTCAAAAACTAGAAATTTGTTTTTGTTAGCAGTTATTAATCTGATCCACAGAAAGATTGACCAATTATCAAAAGGAAGCAGTAGGATAGAATATAGATTCCACTGAGGCCCCCCCCCAAAAAAAAAAATTCAGGTTGTCCGTGAACAAAAAAGTTTGATAACCGCTGCTTTATTTCAATATTTTTATTAACTAAAGAGTGAATGAGGTTCTTGATAAATCTGTGAAAGTTGGAGGTTTCCAAATAAAAGATTAAAAACGTTCAAATTTTAAAACATGAAAGTAATGCCAGTCTTTAAAACAGTTAAAGCATCATTACTGATTTGAGATAACAATCTGAAGTAAAATAAGAATAGACTTGAATCACATCTCCCAAGCCATTTTTAAGTTGTTGTTGATTTTATCGGAAAGCTACTTGAGCGCTATCTGTGTTAGCCATCCCTAATTTTGAAGTGAAAGACTAGAGGTAAAACATGCTAGTCAACATCACTCACCACCAACTCATGGGCTACTCTAATCGAATAGTGGGATTTAATTGTGACTCTTATAACACACCCAATTTAAAAAGGTGGAGTGTGAATTTAGTTTTGGTGGTAACCGTGTGTGGACAACAGATTCATGGATCTGTAGTCCAGCATGTTAACCACTGGGTCGTGCTTGACCCCCCATTTAAAAAAAAAGAAAAAGGATGTAACATGAAAATATAGGTTTTTATAGGATTTCTGCCTAACTAGTTTGGGAAACAACCAATTTTTTCACCTGAATCACTCATAAAGTCATGATATTACCGGGACCAAAATAGATGTATTATATTTTTTCCAATGGATACTTAGCAATTTATAAAGATTTTTATTACCATTACAGCAAAGGATCTTAACCCTTTTCTTCGTAGTCCTGTTCATCACGTATACTTCCACATATATGATTGAGGTTGGTAGAAAAAATATAGGTTTTTTATGGGTCATTTTAACGAAAAAGGAAAAAAAAAGATCATTTTCAAAATATGGGATTTATGGATTCACTGGGCGGTCTTTGTATATAATGTTTGAGATTTGTTAACTTTGACAACCATGTCCACCATTACTTGCCCTAAATCAGCTTGAAACACATGAATTGTTTGTTGTGTTGAATACAAGAAAATACAATGAATATCAATACATTTAGAAGAAATAAGTTTAATTAACAAGTTGTGTAAATTTATCAGAGTAATTATATGACACAAACATTACACAAACAGTGACAGGGCCTTTCACAATCTTTACCTATCATGTCATAAAAATGCTTTGTTTAACACTGTACATTATGCTTTGAAATGGATCTCACACATTCCTGATCCATTACACTTGAAAGTCATACCTCAATAAGTTCTCTAGCCTTCTCATGCTTGAGTTCAGCAAGAAGATCAATCAGCTGATGAAGAAGAAATCCAACAAATCCTACAGCAAATCCAATCAGCCCCATCATAACCCATCGATCCCAGTCAAGTCTGTTAAAAGTAAACAAGAGTGAAACAATTAACTCCATCTTTATTTGACAATGAATAAAACACTACAGCTTTATTGTGATATGAAATATGCCTTTAATTACAAAGTTCCTTAACTGAAGACAGTGGTTTAAAAAACACACCAATTCTCATATATCCAGCAACCCGAAGGCAAAGCTAAAACAAAACATATCAATTCTCATATGTCCAGCAACCAGAAGACAACAGCTTATAAAACAACATCAATTCTCATATGTCCAGCAACCAGAAGACAACAGCTTATAAAACAACATCAATTCTCATATGTCCAGCAACCTGAAGACAACAGCTTAAAACAAACAACATCAATTCTCATATGTCCAGCAACCCGAAGGCAAAGCTAAAAACAAAAACATATCAATTCTCACATGTCCAGCAACACGGAGGCAAAGCTAAAAAAACACACATCAATTGTCGTGTGTCCAGCAACCCGAAGGCAAAGCTAAAAACAAAAACATATCAATTCTCACATGTCCAGCAACCCGAAGACAACAGCTTAAAACAAACAACATCAATTCTCATATGTCCAACAACCCGAAGACAACAGCTTAAAACAAACAACATCAATTCTCATATGTCCAGCAACCCGAAGACAACAGCTTAAAAAAACACACATCAATTCTCATATGTCCAGCAACCCGAAGACAACAGCTTAAAAAACACACATCAATTCTCATATGTCCAGCAACCCGAAGGCAAAGCTACTAAGGTTACCTGCTGTTATTCATAATTTTGAATTAGTGACCAGAAGGACAGCAGAACCATACCACCCACCAGTAAAGATAAGGAACTGACTGTCACTCTTATAATGCACCAACAATTAAAGTGAGGAGAATATTTTGTGATATCAAAACAGGTTCAAACATGGCTCACCAGCTATGAAATCTAGAGCTCTACCACATAGCCAACTCGTGCCCTTGGAGGAAGCCAATCCATGACCTTGAAGGAAGCCAACACGTGTCCTCGAAGGAAGCAATGTTTATTTATTTTGTTTATTTGTAGTCAAGCACAAAGCAACACAATGGGCTATCTGTGCTATGCCCACCACGAGTATCAAAACTTGGCTTTTAGCATTTTAAGTCCACAGGCACACAGCTGAGCCACCAGGGGGACAGGAAGCAGTGACACAGAATAAAACTTTACATGATATCAGTGGGGGGAATATTTGTTTGTCTGTTTTGAGGGAAGGGGGGGTATGTATTTGAGACTGCTTAGGTGTGCACTAGTTGCCACCAGGGAGAACAAGAAGTAATGACACAGAATAAAGCTTTACATGATATCAGTGGGGGGGATATTTGTTTGTCTGTTTTGAGGGAAGAGGGGGGTATGTATTTGAGACTGCTTACTTGTGCACTAGTAATGACACAGAATAAAGTTTTACATGATATCAGTGGGGGGGATATTTGTTTGTCTGTTTTGAGGGAAGAGGGGGGTATGTATTTGAGACTGCTTACTTGTGCACTAGTAATGACACAGAATAAAGCTTTACATGATATCAGTGGGGGGGATATTTGTTTGTCTGTTTTGAGGGAAGAGGGGGGTATGTATTTGAGACTGCTTACTTGTGCACTAGTAATGACACAGAATAAAGCTTTACATGATATACAGTGGGGGGGATATTTGTTTGTCTGTTTTGAGGGAAGAGGGGGGTATGTATTTGAGACTGCTTACTTGTGCACTAGTTGCACCTACGTGGTTTTCTTAAGATAACTGTACTAAATGAAAAAAATGCACATCTTCTGAATGGTTTGACACCCTACTATGGAATTTGAGGTTAGTATTCGAGACACCTTGGAATTGGGTGACACAAGTTTGGAATGGTTGGCACCGCAGTTTGCAGTTGAAATCTGTATTAATATGTATACAGGGAGTCCAAAAAAGTCTGGAACCATAGGCACTTCAACAAATTTTACAGTATGTGTTCCACATGCTGTCCTTTTAATCCAAAAAAAGTTTGGATTAACAAAAGAATTAACTCAACCTTTACCAGCGCCATGTATCTAAAATTAAGAAAAGCTGCAAATAACTTGTGGTTCCAGACATCCTCCATAACCACAGGTTGAAGTATAGAATTGTAACCACATGAAAAGGTAAAATGAGACTTAACAACTGCACAAACAAAATGATGGCCACTTCATGGAATGCACGAGCACTTTCGATAAATTTACACCCTGCCTTTATATTACACCGGTGGTAATACACATATTGTGCAGATTTGCAAAAATATGTGTCAAGAAATTTCATGGTGTCTTCAGTATTAGCCTCAAATTTCGAGATAAGTTATCAAACCATTCGGGAGATACACCATTTTAATTTAGTACATAAGCCTTAAGAGCAATGTGCAGTACAAGTCATATGAGTGTCAACATTTAACAGTAGTTTAGAGTTGTAATGGATATTTCACTGGAATTCAGTATTTAGCATATTTTGCCAGATATTTGTTTTGGCAGGAGATAAGTACCTATTTGGCAGTCAAATAATTACAATTTTCATATAATTTATCTGGAATGGTGTAACATAAAAATAGGCTTGGACTGTGAAGGAGTGTGTGAATTTCAACCCAGCCTCAGAAGTCAGAGTTTCACCCCTACTCTCTCTCACAGTACAGAAGGACATAACCAGGCATTTGTTGGCTTTGCTAACTCAGCCTATTGTCTAAACACTTACCACCAAGACATTAGGTTTAATCACCTGAATATGGAATTAAGGGGCCTTTTCTGCCTAAAACCTACTCCAGGGACAAGGAGGTTATAAACTAACATAGAAAAGGTCAATTAATTAATAACTATATTAAACTAGAATAGTACTGGCACAAACAAATTTGATCATGTTAGTAAAGATTATTCAACTCAGTTATCAATAATGTACACTTGTTTAATTTTGGTATTTTCCAAAGCATATGACCCTGCTTTCTTATATTAACACGTTTGATACCACGTGCTCCACCGGTGGATCACAACTGACCTTTAGTGAAGTACTGCGTGACACACTGGTGGGTCATAGACAATGCTCCACCGATGAGTCACAACTGACCTTTAGTTATAGACTGCATGACACACTGGTGGGTCACAGGCAATGCTCCACCAGTGGGTCACAACTGACCTTTAGTTATGGACTGTGTGACACACTGGTGGGTCACAAACAATGCTCCACCAGTGGGTCACAACTGACCTTTAGTAATGGATTGCATGACACACTGGTGGGTCACAGACAATGCTCCATCAGTGGGTCACAAATGAGCTTTAGTTATGGACATGACAATTATGTTTGAAAGCCAAATTTCTCTTATGGCATATGAGTTTAGGACACTGCGACTACTCCTCAGCATCTCTTAAATAACTTTAGTGTAGGAATTATTAATACAACTGGTGGCAGCAAAAGTGTTAAACAAACAAGTCCTTTTAAATTTAAAGCAAATTGAAATAATTTTAGTACAGTAAGAAAACAATAAAGCTTTCTATTTATTAAATAATAGTCACCAGCACTTCTAATTTGTTTTGCATTCTTGTGATGCAAGAACAGTAACCATTTGACATTTTGCAGAAGCAACCAATTTCTTTGTGACTCATAAATGTTGTTGGCTTTTGAGAACAGTATTCACTATATACACAATGCTGAAAGGGGCTGATTGGATCCTTCATTACAATAACATACTAGATCATCACTTTAAAAGTGTTAGAGATAAATATAAATCAATTTTGCTGGTGACAGCAACTTCTTTGTTATGATCTATTTGACCAATATCATTAATGTCACAAATACCTGAAAATATTTCACTGTAGTATACCAGAAAGAGTCGCGTGACTCCTGCCGTAAACTTTTAATGGATGGTGGTGCTAATGGTGAGAAGTCATCCAAGTCACTTCCAGTACTTGTCTTCAACCAACAGGTGATGCGAAATTGTGTTAGTTCTCTCTCTCTCCATCAAACTCTGGTTCACTGCTTGGTTCTGTTCCTCTTTAACCTACTGCATCTGGTGCATATATGGCCTCTAAACGTTTTTTTCTGTTCACTGCATCAACTCATCACAGTCAATACTATCTAGTAAATCCATAAAACAATCTGGATTTTCAAACCTTTGGCAGCACTTGGTAATTTCCTCAAAGGGTTACAGCAAATTCTAAACTTGCCTCCAATAGGAACAACTAATTATTGTCAAGGTTGGTGGTGGTGGCACAGATGCACCGATTTATTTTGTTTCATAGGCCTTTCAAGAAGATAGCATGTTGAATTCCATCTTGTACAAGTTTCTTTTAAGGCATATTTAAGTCATTTTGTTCAGTCATTAATTTTGAACATGCTACAGCAGCACTGCTTCTAGGATTTTTCTCAAGTGGGCCAAATCCCCCAATGACTTCCAGAAAGTGGGCCATCCTTTAATGAAGTAGGCAGCTACTTTGCGAGTCGTAAAATCATAACATGATCAGGTAACTTTTATTTGAAGAAACAGTGAATTGAAACATTTCAATTTGTTTCATTTGTGTATGTACTGAACAATATGGTATGTATGAAGTGTTTTTCAAAATAAATATCTTGGAACTTCTCAATTATTCTTTTACTGTAGATCAACTCTTCAGATTATAATCCTAAAGGATTGATGATCAAGTTATGTGGTGATATTTTTTCATTTCCTTCCATTTCGGAAAGTTCCGGTTACGACTGTGATCTATCGTTATAAAGTCATTCGTAATATATTTCGAAGGGCAGTGCACACAAAAAATTTAAATGCATACTTCTATTATTTTTTGCATGAATTAGTGCGCAGGCAAATGATTATTTTTGTATCCAGTGGCAATCAAAATAGCGTAAATACGCAAATTACACGTCCCAAAAGCAACACTGTACAGACAAGTGACTAAAGTGTGTAATAACCTTTCTACTGACTGTTATGAGATCAACTATAGATGGCAGAGATTCCAAAGCATTCACGATCACAATGTGTGGAGAAAATATGTCACACTGGACAATCCAGAGTCATTAGAACCTTTTACAATATTTTCTAAATTACCTCTTATTAAGATTGAATATTTTTTCTTTTTGATTTCCCATACATTTGTTAGATCTTCCAACATTCTCTTCATTGCATCACAGGTTGAGATGTAAAGAATTGGACACATAATGTTGTAAATTGCTAAAACACCACCCTATTTACAGGTTGAGATTTAAAGAAGAAATGGAAATGTCCAGATAGGACTACTGTTCAGAAAATTATTTCATCTCATAAAAAAAAATATTATTGGCAGTTCCATACATTAGGCAGAGCCACTTATAATGTTAGTATTCACCAGGAGTTATTATATAATCCTTCATTAAAGTATTGCTACTGTAATTTGTTTACCTTACCTGTCTTACTCGTGTCCTGTGAAACTAATGAAATTGTTTGTTGAAATGAATATATAAACTATTGGACAGCTTAATATTTGGCCAAAGAACTTGACTGAATACTTACTATCTGACCAAAACACCAGATATTACAGCTCTAAACAGTATTCCGAACTTTGTAATATCTCTGAGAAAAGTTCAGAGTACTTAGAAAAATTTATAATTTACAGGTCTTGGAATCTTCATAAAATGTTTCATCTAATTTCATGTTTAATCTAAAACTAAATCTTATCATCATACACAAATCTAAATAATTAGAATGCAAGACAATTTCTTGGTTTTATACTATACAGGTAATAAAGACAGATATTATTATATTATTATTTATAACACAACTATGATTACTCTGAACCATAGCATTTGTCTGCTAATAAAGAATTTATAAACTTGTCACTTGAAGTTCCAGTCTTATTTTCTGGATGAAGACGCTGATTAAAAATGGAAGAAAACAAAAATATAAAAACTAATTTTTTTTAAACGATGCTTCAGAGTTAACAAAGGGATTACTTATATTATGAGAAAGAACGAAGAAATTTTGTACTGTATTACATGGTATTCCAAGCTTACTTGGCCAGTTGACATAGCCACCTGTTGATCAAAGCAAAAGTTAATGCTGCTTTGAAAAAAAGAGAAGAAAAAGTAACTACTGACCTAGCAGGTTGCTTCGTAATCCAGTCTCGGTAAACTTTGCTGTGTGGAGGTAGGTAATCTAAACTTTCATACCGAGCAAGAATCTCTCTCTCTTTCTCAGTGTACTTGTGATTTACGTAAGCACTTTCAAGGTCTCGACCCTAGAAGTCAACATGTAATTTTATAGAAATGAAGCGAATGAGAGCTGAAATCAAAACTATGAAATTATCACTAAAGAGACCATTCTGCCATTACTGACTTTGAAAAAAAAAATTTGTGTGAAATAGAAACATTTAAAGCTGGTTACTCAAAAAAAGTTTGATGGGATCAACATCGAGTGAGACAAAATTTCAAATTTAAGTAAATACACATTTGTTTCTTTTTAACTAACCAAAATACATAACCTTCATCTGAATCAATCGAACACCATTATTAACAGAATTAATATGCTTACAGCTAAAAATGCTATATAAAAATATACTTATTTTACAAGTATCTTTTTTTAGCTCAATTCCAATAGAAAATCAAAGCTACATGAAAATAAATACTTAGCTGTTATTGCTATAAAAAACAAAGTATAAAGAATTACTTTAGAGGTTCAGAGACAGTGTGGCCCTTCTAGCTGCGAGAATAAATTATTTAGTAGGGTCCATGGCCTAATATGAAAGATATCAGGTTTATGTTTAGAGCAAAAGGTGAGCTGGTTGGACCCGTTGGATATTATTTCAGGGTAAGGGTGAATTATATGTTACAGACAGACTATACTCAAGCAAAATAGGCAATAGGATGTTTGGAAAGAGTATAAAAGATGTTCCTTAAAAACAGTTTTAACTAAACTTGCATACTAGTATGGGAAATTAGAAATAAACAAAAGAATGTTTAATGATTGTTAGAACAATGAGGAGAATGGAAAAGGGAAACTTAGAGCATAAAAGTTAAATAACAGTTTTAAAGATAGGTTTATCAGATTTAAAAGTAAACAGAGCAGATTCAAAAATAAGCTTAGCTGATAATATTCTAATGTTAGGAATAAAATGGATAAGTTCAGGACTGCAAATGAAACTAAAGTCTATGATATAAATGAATTACTGAAACTTGGTTAGACTTGGAGAACACTGATAATTGGTATATTTTGAAATTTCAGGTAATGTTACTTAATAGTGATTGATGTTTTAAAAGAGAGGGATATATAATATATATCCCTTTATATAAGGGATGAACTACTGCCTGATGGGATTAAAGGCATAAAAGAATGGTAATGAAAAGGTTGAATCTACACAGATTACAATTAGGGGTTTCAAGGGTAGAAAGTTCTTAAATGTGATTTGTTATAAGACTAATGACATCGATGAGAAATTGTATAATGAGAACAGGGTTAATACTTTAACACGAATATTGATGTAATAATTACTGGATCATTTCATTTTAGACACAATGATTGGAACTGTATGGAGCCACATAGTGAGGGTAAAAAGGGTTTCTTGAATTGGTAAGTTGGACAAATATTTGGGAAATGACCTTTAACCATAAGGACAAAGTAATGGATTTGAGCAGTAATTTGGATCACATATTTAATATAAATGTGAACCAATTCAGTAGCATGGCTGAAGAAAAGGATCTTGAAATAATTTTCTCAAGCATTCGGTGCTCTGTTGTTAGTAGTAAATCTAATAAGGATTTAAGGTGTATTTACACTGATTACAAGTCAAGAGAGGTAAATATATCGGCACAAATTGCTACTCAAGCTTCATTTTGAATAATATATATAGTTTACATTTCTGTATCTAAAAAAAGGATATTGACTTAATGGAAAGGTTTTAAAGGATGATTCCAAGGATGGAATAATTATCTTATAGAGAGAGGTTAAGATGTCTTAATGGATTTTATCTTGTTGAAGTTTACAGGATTGATAGGACAAAGGCCACTGATTTCTTTGCACTGTATTTTTATCAATAAGATGAGGGGACATACATTTAAGGTTTGGAAAAAACAGTTTTATTTTTCTTACAGACATGGGTGTCTTCAGGAATTTTTCCAGGAATGAGAGGCAAAGTAGTGTGAAATTGTGAAAAAAAAATGAATGAATAAAGAAAGAATTATGTTTCTCATTTTCTTGGGGAAGGGGGGGTGCAAGTACCTGACCCCGCTCCCAACTTCGGTCACCCATGCTTAGAGGGTGATTGGCTTATGGGATGAGTTGCCATTGGCAGTATCGTAGGTTGGCACCTTATAGAACTTAAGAGAGAAATAGATGATTTCTTGGAAAATAAATAAAAGAAGAGCTTAAGTTTTTCTTTTTCTCAGAGATGGATGTACAGGGACTGCCTTGAAGGACCAAATGGGCATTTGTTGTTCATATTCTGTATTATTCAACAGATTAATATTGAAACTACTTTGAAAGCTAAAGAAAGGTTATTTGACAAAAAAAATTCCTTGGAATGCCTAACTAAAATTCAAATAGCTCTGTGGCATGTAAATATCACCTGTCTTTGTTCTCTTTGGTCAAAAATAACTAAAACTTATTTTTTTATTTTCTAGAAACTAATTCTGTTCTTTACAACTAAATTCATTCCTCTATATCTATATAAAAATCTGCCATTTTGGTATTTTTTAACTAAATGCAAATATGAGACATTTGTTACATAAATCACTTGTTTCATAAGTTATCACAATCTTATAAAGAATTTAATCCTCTAAACAAATTACAATCACATACATAGATATCGTACTTGTAGAGAGTTCTGTCCTTTTGATGAACTTTTATGACCTCCTCTAATAACCTACGACCCTTGCCATACAGATTTAATGAATAATATTTTTATGGTAGAACTTTAAATAATAAATTATTTTAAATACACATTTACTACGATGTTGTTCTTAGAAATTGAAAGATTAAATAAAATGTGACTTTTATGCTTCTTAAGAAAATCATTAACCCAAAACATATGAATACATAGATATTTTATTTTTTACTTTCGGGAATTTAAAATGGAGTCTTTTACCCTAGCAAAGAAACTGTGATTATCATCATCATCATCTGGCTGTGGTGCTCCAGTATCCCCTGCATCTTCAACAACATGCCTTAGAACTCTATAGCGAATGTTTGACTCATTTTCCACATTCCCTCTTCCAATATCTGGTTCAGCCATTTTTATATCACTAAAAAATTTAATAGAAAGAATTAAACAGTACTCAAGTCAGTGTGTTGGAGTTTCTCTTTTAGTTTGGATCATAATATAACATAGGGATATATTTTAACCCTGATATCTATGTAAACACATTATACTGAAGTTGATGCATGAACAAATACTCTGTGTAAGTTATTCTGGTATTACTAATGTGTGCTATTTTTAAATGGAAATACATATATTTAAAACCATGGTTATTTCTATAATTACAAAATTGTGCTTTAAATTTGTTAAACTCTGATTTATCTAATTAAACTTGAAAATCTTGTCCAAGGGAAAACAATAGTTACTCTACAACTAAAAGTGAAACTAAAACACTGTTCATGAAAATATTTTACTGAACACAAAATATTTCTTACTGGTTGTATGGCAAATTTGTTGTTACAATTTTACTTGTACAACTACATTATTAAAAATAAAAATCATGTTGCAAACTTATAAATATAATTAAGTTACATTATCTTTCGTCTTTCCCTCTTTTCCGTGGTGGTATTATTGTAAACACAATCTGGAATCTATCGTTTAAGTTTAAATATATGCTAGTTGCAATGCTATTAAGCTATTTAAAGTTTATTTAATTTTAAACATTAAGTTAAATGTTATTGTTAACACTTGAGATGACAAGTTAAAAACAAAGTTGATAAGCGTCCCTTTCCACAAGTTAACCATTCACTTAATGTGAAGAAAGTGAAATCATCTTATCATAAATTAATTTATAATTTTAATTAGAAATGTTCAAGTACATTATTATTATTAATAAACCAATCTTAGCGTTAACATTTAACATAACATATTTTAAAATAACATTAGTATTACGTCTTAAAATATACTAATTTAAAATTATATTCATACTACTTCAGTTCTAATTTTTGTTAGGCATAGGGTACTATGGTTAATTTTTTACGATTATAATGTCCCTACGTTATATGTAGAAGTTATAAGCCTAAATTATTATAAATAACTATAAATCTCTCACACCCACTGATCACTCGTAGTCAGATTAGTGCTCACACCCCGCTAACCATTATTTTACACAAGTGCCCTCTCTATTTTCAAAGTATTTTTATTGTAAAGTGAAAAGTAAGCCATTAAAATTTAAATAAAAGTAATTTACAGAATAAATGTAAACAAGAAGTATAATAAATTCTTCTGAACGACTAAAATTAATTTGGAAACCATTTAGATGAATTGACATAGTAACTTTCCGATAAAATATTCCTAATTATAATTTCATACAGGATAGTACTTCGTTAATTTGGGGTTTTAGCCGCTTAATTAATAAAGCAACTTTGATGTAAATGATGTCATAATTTTTTTTATGGGCATAGATTCTTTGTTTGTTGTTAAGTGCAAAGCTCCACATCGGGCTATCTGTGTTATGTCAATCGCGGGTATCGAAACTCGAATTTAGCGTCATAAGCTCTCAGACTCACAACTAAGCCACCGAGTGGACATGACCTTAATACTTTCACACATTTTCATATCTGACAATTTATTCATTAGTCTAAAAAACAGACAAAATTGTATATGTTTCGAAACAATTGTAAAGTAGTCGAAAAGTTTATGAATGTTATAATGTCAGAAGGTTTATTTTTTAATTGTGATTTCTATTTCTGGATGATAGAAATAATAATTTATTACTCTATGATAAAAAAATTAATGCAAAGGTAAAGTAAAACATGCATTACATACGAAGTACTCCAAAAAATTACTGCATATAACTATGAAATTAATTTTCAAAAATCAGCAAAAAACAAACAAACAAAAAAAACAACAACAACAGCATAAACCGTAATAAAGTAGTGTCATCTATCAAAAAATATTAAAATCATGAATGATAAATTCAGAAAAGTTTAAGGATTCTTTAACAGATGGCAGCACAATAGTTAGTTTTTTTTGTTTTTTATTGGTACCTTTTCGAATGTTTTCTTTTTCATAAAATAAATGAGCATTCAGACACAGGTTTGTTTTTGTCATCCTTGTTTTTTTAATGTTGATAATTGTTTGATATGCAAACCAACAAAATCAAAATAAAACTATATACACATACACACATTGTGGTGTAAAAACACACAAAATGGCGAAGCTATTTTTTTAGTGCAAAGCTATAAAATGGGCTTCTTGCACTCTTCTTTAGTGGGGAATCGAACCTCAGATTTTAGCGTTGTAAGTAGGTAAACTTATCGCTGCCTCACGGGGGGGGGGCAAATTGAGAAGTAAATAAGCTCATTAGACTTATCTTCCATCACATTTGTCTTAATTAATACCAATTAAAACAGAGTAATAAACACAGCATTTGAGCTCTATCTCTAGGCTGCCACAAGTCGCTGCGTAGGAGACATAAGTCATATAATTAATTAGCCAGGCAGGACCAATGATCGCTATTTATATAGAGTATGAAAAACTGACATTATTCAGACAGTTTTCTGTGATTGTTCATTAGATTTAATGCTCTATATTTTAGATAGTTAAATTTAGAAACACAGTTTATTTGAATTCAAAAAACATATTACTGATTAAGTGAATATAAAACTAAGAAGCAACATACCATTTTTATATTATGCCGTAAAGTTAGATTTTGTTTGTTTGTTTATTCTTAAGCACAAAGCTACACAATTGGGCTATTTGTGCTGTGCCCACCGAGGGTATCGCAACTATGTTTTTAGCGTTGTAAGCCCTTATACATATAACAAAAATTCTGCTCTAATTTCACTGAAACAAGAAAATGAAATTATTATTAAACCAGCTGATAAGGCCGGTGCCCTTATCATTCAAGATAAGTCCGACTACATCAACGAAGCTTGCCGACAACTTAATGACACAAACCACTATAAAAAGGTAGATTTGGACCCCACACAGCAATTTGTTAAAATTATCGAAGATATGCTATGTAGTTTACAGAAAAGCCAACACATCAGTGGTGAAACATTACAGTTCCTTTCACCCAAACACCCAGTTCCAGGTCGCTTTTACATGTTACCAAAAATACACAAACCCAACAATCCTTGTCGCCCTATTACTTCTAATTGCGGTGAGCCTATTGAAAACTTATCTACTTCACCCCCCCCCCACGTTTGACGTCATACATTAAAAAAAACAACACATTTTACAAACATGATCTCTGACAATAACAGCAATGGAAAACTTCCTCCAAACACTATTCTCTGTACTATGGATGTCTCTTCTCTATACACAGACATTCTCCACGACAAAGGCCTAAAAGCCCTAGAATCTTCTCTGAAAAACTAGACAAGCCCAACATTCAAATTATTACAGACTTAGCTGAACTAGCACTTACACCTAACGGTTTTGAATTTAATAATGAATTCTATATTTAAACAAAAGGCACAGCTATGGGCACCAAGATGGCACCAAACTATGCCAACATTTTTATGGGAGACTTGGAGACGAAACTTTTGGAAAACTGCACAGACAAACCAAAGTTTTGGAGATGCCACATTGATGACATTATTTCATTTGGGTAGGAGACGAAGATTCATTACTGTCCTTTTACATACATGCTAACACCTTCAACAGTTCTAATAAATTTACTCTAGACCACTCCACTGCCCAAATAAGTTTCTTGGTTGTAAACCTAACATTAAAAGATGGTGTTCTACATACCGACTTGTACCGAAAACCAACGGATAAACCACAATATTTACATAATGAAAGCTGTCACTCTCCACACACCAAATGCAATATCACATTCAATCAAGCACTTAGATTAAATAAGATATGATCTGATAGTAAGAACTATGACCGTCACATCAATTCTTTGAAACAGGTTATGAATGAAAGAGGTTATAAAGAAAACACTATCACCCAACAAGCTGACAAAGCTAACAATATACCACGTACATCTGCATTGAAACAATGACCTAAAACCAATTCTTCTGGTGTTCCACTAATTATTATCTATCATCCAAAACTAAAACATCTACCCCGGATACTACAGAAACATTTTACCTCTTTCAACTTCATGATCGATTAAAATCTATTTTTACAGAAGTTCCTGTCGTTTCTTTCAGAAAGAATAAAACTTTGCATTCACACTTAATTCACGCTAAAGTAAACTTTAAGTCGACACCAGGTGGAAGTCATCCTTGCAATAGCGAGCGATGTCAAACCTGTAAGTTCATGCAGGAAACGGACAAATTTTCCGATAAAGACAACCAAAAGCAGTTCATAATCACTAAACCCATAACCTGCTCTACAAAAAAATGTCATTTACTTAATCCAATGTCTAAAATACAATTTCCAATATGTAGGTCAAACCATAACAACCATACGGGAACGTTTTAATAACCATAAATCAACAATCAAAACAAACAAAGAACTTCCGGTTTCAAAACACTTTAACATGTCTGGACACTTTCTTGAAGACATTTAACTTGTGGTTATAGAGACAAATTTGACATCTAAGAGAAACAGGGAAATTAAAGAAGCTTATTGGATAGCACTGTTAAATACCGTAACGCCAAATGGTATCAATCTCGATCTCGGGGTTGTTGACCTTCGCAAGTCTCTGAAAAGATTTTCAAACCTAAATTCATGATTAAACTTACTTTACATTATTAGTGTTATTCTTTCTTAGATTTTTCTCTTTATATATTGGTTTGATTTCCTTTATATTGAGCTACGTTATTATTTTCTCTATTTCCCACCGCCTTTTGCCGTTATTTAATTTTATTGTTTATTTTATTTTTGATTTTATCTTTACAGAAATTAGTTAACAATTCTTATAACTATTATCCCACACCATTCTTTTACCAACTTTACACACCCCTTTGGCACAAAACTAAACCTGACACAAACAACTCTAGGTTATGATTGGCTAGCTCTCAAGGCCAACTCATATTGAACATCACACTTATTAAACATAGCCCTTTATTCTTCTGAAGAAGAACAGTCAACTATTCGAAAGCGCTCGAGTTTTGGGTCTCGTTTTGAAAATATATAATGCTACGAAAGGGATCACTTACTTAACCTCGGTCATAGTAAAATAGGTAGTTTTAAATTAAGTATATTTATAGTGACTTTAAGATAACAAAAATTATTTTGCTAGGAAAAATACAGTTATTTTTAAAGCTAGAACAATAAAATTATAAACTTCAGGCATTTTTTTCATACTTTTCTTTTTAAGACGTGGCAAGTTTAAGACGGTTTCGGGAAATAGGTTTTGAAATTAGAACTGTGCAGATAACAATTCGTCGTATTGGAAACCATGGTTTCTGTCTATATTATAAATTTAAAATCATTTTAATATTTTGCTCTTTCTCTCAATGTTAGTCAGCTAATGGTGAATAGCACACCAACCTTTCTAATAAGAAGACCCAGGATCGAATCTGGCACATGCAGTCCTTCTCAGT